CCCTTTGATTATTCCCAGTAGAAAGATTTCGGGTTTGTATTTTATCTGTTCTCCAGAACAAAAACAAAAAACTTTTTAAAGCATTTAAAGTAAAAGAAGAAAAAAGGTTCCCAAGATCACACAGCACAGCTGATCGTCGGAAGATTTTAAAAACTTTTTAAAAGTATTTTTTACTACCAGTTTGCAAACCGGTAGTATTTCACCTCTACTGGAGGCAGAAGAAGAGAAAAAAATTGAAGAAAATAAGAAAAAAATATAAGGACCTGTAGAAGTAGAATGACTGTAGCAAAAGAAAGCAAAGATTATTTTAAATAAAAAAAACTATCTGTAATACTGTTTTGACTGACACCTTCTTGCACATGAAGTTACTCTCCCATATATATTCAGAGACCAAACTGTTAATTATTAGAATAGCCCAACTTGTTGTCAGACTTTGGGTTCCAGCTCCTATGATCAGCTTTTCTTGCTTGGAGATGTCCCAAAGGTGCTTTTTTCAGGAGGCAACTGGACTTTCTTATTTTTTCTTTGAAGACTTTTCGCTTCTCATCCAAGAAGCTTCTTCAGGATAGTGGGGAATGGAAGGATTTATACTCCGTGCAGACAGCTGGTCATTTGCATCCTTTTAGAGGGTCATTGAAGCACTTGGAGGTTTATCTGTGTCCTCAGGGTCACCTGAGTAATACAAATGGTTCCTTTAGTCTGCAATTTTTCCCCCCCTGAAAAATCCTTCCATTCCCCCACTATCCTGCCAGAGCTGAAGAAGTTCCTTGGATGAGAAGCGAAACATTTCCCTGAAGGAGAAAACAAAGTCCAGGCGCCTTTTTGAAAAACACATTTTGAGACAACCATGACCTGGATGACTGAGAATTTCCATAGACATGTATCAGGTTATGTTCCTCCTCCAGTTCCATCTGCAATGTCATGAAATAACCAGGGGAAAAACAGACTCTGTAGTTTAGGGGTATCAAATGCTTAGATTTGGTGGGGCCACTCTGGAACAGCGAAGGACCAGCCCGTGGTGCCTCTGCCAGCAAAAACAGAGCTCAGGAGAGCCGCGTATGATGCCCCTTTTCACTGGCAGGACGCTGTCACAGTCGAAAACGGAGCCCGGGCCCCCGCAAGCTCTGTTTTCATTGGCGGAGTGGTAGCAAAACAAACTAATAGCAAAAGTGGACACACACACCCAGTCTTCTCCCCCGCCCCCCCGGGCCNTTTTTTTGCTCGTTTTTGCCCCCCGGAGCACTTTGCAGGCCTCTCAAACTCTCTGCATGCCCCGTTTTTCACAAAAATGAGGCGTTCAGAGGGCCTGGGAGTCCTGCAGAGTGCAAAAACTTTAAAAAAAAATTATCTCTTCAAAATTTTGGTGCGTCTTATACTCCAGTACATCTTATAGTCCGAAAAGTACAGTATATGATGATCATATATGGTTTCATCATTTGTTGATTCAGAAGAAGCCAGTTAAGGTAAACTTCTAGTCACGAACGAAAGCAAACTTCTTTCTATAAACGTCTACAAAATACAGTCACAAAACTGCATCTGGCTTACTTTGGCCCTGTCATGCGGGGAAAGTCACTGGAAAAAGCAATTATGTTAGGGAGAGTTAGCAGTAAAAGGAAATCAGGCCGCTAAAGAACTTGGAAGCTGGAAACCATCAAAGCTGACACTGTCGAGAACATAAAGCAACTCAGAGAAGTAGTGGAAGGCTGGAAGATATGGAAAGAACTGGCCCGTAGAACCGCCAGGAGTCAGGTGCAATTAAATGGATAACATCAACATAATCTACTAAATGCACGCACGGGAAAGAGCTGGATCTTGCTAACTTTTTCCTATGACCGTCTGAGATCCTTCCTGAATGATTTTGTGTATTTGTCAAAATTATTTAACTTTGGTCCAAACTGAGGAGATGGAACCCACATCTGGTACCTCTTAAATACATTTAGCAGAGCAAAGTAAACTATTGTGTGGGGGATCTCCCCCCCCCTCCCCCCCCCGTTATGGCTTACTTCTTGGCCATCTGTTCGATGTTGTAGCCAGGACTGGGATCATTTGAGATCTAAGACAAGAAGGAAATAAAAGAATCAGATTTCCCCATACTAATAATACTTGACAATCGTCAATAACCTGACTTAGCAATCATCAATAGGAAAGAGACGATGTCCATGGATCAGTGGTGGGTTTCAAAAAATTTTCGAACCTACTCTGTGGGTGTGGCCTCCTTTGTGGGAGTGGCTTGCCGGNGCATGCGTACTAGCGTCTGTGCGATGCTCCAGCTGCTCCTGGAGGATCGCGCAGGCGCTGTATGCGTCCTGCGCATGCGTGGAAGCGCAGAACTCATCAAAACCGGGTAAGAAACGCGGGCGGGCGGGTGGACCCTTCGGCGTTCCCGGAAGTTACTTACTTCTGGGTTCGCCGACCAACCGGTTCGCGGGGACCGCCGCAAACCGCCTGAAACCCACCCCTGCTACCATCCCTGTCCATGTTTCTTTTTATTCGTATCCATTTCATATATCCAAAATCATGTTTATACATATTTATGTTGTCTAATACAGGCTTGACTAAATAAGTAAGTAAGTAAGTGCAAGTACGTAACACAGACAAATTAAGAATCAGAGAACATGGTACTAAGAATGTGTGATAGATAGGAATAGGATATGTATTTGTATGATTAGTAATTATGTAAAAGAAAGGATTGACAGACAGATAATGTGACTGAATACACACACCTATGTAATGGATATAAAATGTAATTGTTGTAAGATCTAATCACTATATGGAAACATTTATGCTAGAAATGCCAAACTATGTCCAATGTTTTTCATGTTTAACTAATAAAAAACTTTATAGTAATAAAAAAGTAAGTAAATAAATAAATAAAATAAAATGACTTCAACTCCCAGGATCCCTTCCTGGCACCGCCCTGGCTAGGAATTCTGGGAGTTGAAGTGCAACTGGAAAATGCCTGGCTGAGTTCTGAAAAGCATTCATGGGGAAATAGCAGAAGATTCCTACCTTGTCCCGGAGGGGTTACATACGTCCTTCGCGGATTGCTCAGCACCTCCCCATCCCTTACTATGCCAATTCCAATCTTGTTGGCGCTGCCCTCAAAGCCAATCACGACCGGCATCTCTTCCTGGAACACTGCAAAAAAAAAAAAAAAAAGGTGAAATTTGATTTCTTCCAACAGAAGCCTCGGAATCTGCAGCGATCCCTGATCCAGCTGATCACCAGGCATGATTTCCTTGGGACAGACAAGGCAGCCACTTAGCTAACAAGGACAGAAGATTCGTGAGAATGAGCCCTTTGCATCTTACCTGTGATTCTTTCCTCTGCTTCCCAGGTCCACCTTATTTTGAAAAGCTCTCAGCACACGCAGGAAAAACACGTGTGCTACAAAAGTATCTTATAAGGAAAACTCAGCAGCAAAGGAAGGGTTAACTCTGAGTCTGTCTCTCCCTCCCTTTTCCTTCTTCTTAAGAATCTAAGAGGAGGGTTTCTAGAGGTAGAAAATGTGCCCTGAACAGTGTACAGCATACACGAGTGGTTTTCATTTGACAGCTGCCACGTGAGGATTAGAGGCATCTTTGGTACTTTCCCAGCTTGGTTAATTTCTTGTAGACATTTCACTAACCAACCTAGGTAACATCATCAGTACTACTAAGAGGTGGGGTTTGCTCTCAATTTATATTCTAGTGACTCACCCTGTCAGTAGAATATAAATTGAGAGTATGGATTGGATTTTATGGATTTTATTGGAAATTTATATGCCGCCCTTTTCCCTGAGGGGACTCAGGGCGGCTTACAACAGTGAGCCGCCCTGAGCCATTCCTTCCTAGAATTGAGGATGATATGTAGTTAGGTAATGGAATGTCCTCATAAAAACAACCTAGAACTGATGATGTTACCTAGTTAAGTAATGAAACGACCGAAGCTAAAACAACAACAACAACAACAACAACGAGACCCTATTTCAACTCTGAGCGACAGATATTCTCCTTTATTTTCTATGGAAGTTCTCAGTCATCTAGATCAGTGTTTCTCAACCTTGGCAACTTGAAGATGTCTGGACTTCAACTCCCAGAATTCCCCAGCCAGCGAATGCTGGCTGGTGAATTCTGGGAGTTGAAGTCCAGACGTCTTCAAGTTGCCAAGGTTGAGAAACACTGATCTAGATCATGGTTGTCCCAAAGGTGCTTATTTTTTTCAAGAGGCAACCGGACTTCCTTGGTTTTTGCTTGAAGACTTTCCGCTTCTTATCCAGGAAGCTTCCTCGGTTCTGAACGAATGGCAGAGAATGGAAGGATTTAATGGAAGGAAGGAAAGAAGCAAAAACCAAAGAAGTCCAGTCGCCTTTGGGATTTTCTTTTGTTGATTAGAAGGTGCCAATTCCAACCTACTACTCAACAGAGTCGGAAGGTACCTAGAAGGTCATCTAGTCCAACCCCATACCGAAGTACCCTACATCTTCCTCTACCTAGGATATTTTTCTTTTAGAGAAAAAAAAGACACTTATTAAATATCCGTATGTAGGATTTTCAGAGACCATATTACGGTTTTAAACCTTTTACTTCGCCGCGATCCCCTCTGCGTTGTTCGATTGGGAACCGAAGGTGTCGGGTGATTCGGGGGGGGGGGTGTTGGCAGACAATGTTCCGTGAGTGGTACGGAGGACGCCTGACGTCACCCGGTGGTTAAACCCCGCCCCCTCCCTCGGCACGTGACCGACGCGGAGGGCGCCTTTTCTTTCTAAACCTGCCGTTCCTCCAATGGGCTCTAGGGAGCGTTCCGGCCCGCTTGAATAAATAGCTCCGCCTCACTCTCTGTCACGTGACCTTCTCCACTCCACGTGCTGCTCTTTCTCTCCAAGGATTGCTGCGGATTCTCTCGGTGGGTGCAGGGAAGCCTCGCGTCCGGCGTGGTGAGAGCCGAACGTTGCTTAAAATAAAAATTACTATTGTTTTTTTTTTAAGTAAGGTTTTTCCTAATTGCATTTCATCCGCAAGCGAGCCAGGGTCGATATCCCGGCCTTCCATTTTTTTTGCATTTTTTAAAAATAAAAAAAATTCCCCCTCCCGTGCATTTTTAAGAATGGGGTGGCAGGTAGAAATTCAACAGGGTTAGCTTCCAAAGGACGTCTGCACCCTTTTGTCGGAAGGGGTGGGTGGGTTAGAAAACAATGCCCCTGAGGAAGTTATGAATGCAAAGCGAACCTTACTACCCATGTTCCCCAGTCACTGACCCGTTATGGAGGGATTGCTTTTGATGTTGCCAAAACAATGGAAAGAGGTTTTAATGAAAATGAGAATAGAGCTGGAAGGGACCTTAGAGGTCCTCTAGTTTAACTCCCTGCTCAAGCAGGAGACTGTCCAGCCTCTTCTTAAAAACCTCCAGTGATGAAGCACCCACAACTTCTGGTGGCCGGCCGTTCCGCTTGTTAATTGTTAGGAAGTTTGTCCTTAGTTCCAGGTTGCTGCTCTCCTTGATTAGTTTCCAACCATGGTTTCTTGTCTTGCTTTCTGGTGGTTTGGAAAAATAAGTTGGCCCCCTCTTCTTTGTGGCAGCCCCTCAAATACTGGAATACCTATCTTGTCGTCCCCCCAAAAACGCCTCCTTTTCTCTAGACCAGTGCTTCCCAACGTGGGACCCACGTCCCACAGGCAGGAAATTAGATTTTTAATGGGGGGCAATTTGAACCTTGTTTAAACCAAGTTAATGGCCTTTTAGGCTTCCGGAGTAGAATTCTTTCGCTTGTTAAGTAAAGTAAGAATTATATGTTGGGGGGGGGGTTGCATCAGGATTTTAGAGATGCTTAGGTGGGCATGGCCAAAAAAAGATTGGGAACCACTGGTCTAGACAAACCCAAATGATGCAACCATTCTTCATGTGTTTTAGTCTCCAAGTCTTTCGTTATCTCAATTGTTCTCTGCTTTTTCCAAAGTCTCAACATTTTTTTTAAGTAACTAGTGACCAAACTTGGATTCAGTATTCTAAATTGTGCTCTTATTAAGGTTTTATAAAGTGATACTAATATTTCACATGATATTGATTCTATGACTGTGTTACTTTTTTATTTCACACTCATCACTTTTAAAAAATGTTAAAACACACTTAAAAATGAACCTAATTTATCAGAGGCTTATTTCAGAATGTTGCAAACATTTCAAATACTGAATTTCTTCTATTGGTAATTTAAAGAAAAAGATGGTTCCTTAATTCTCAGCATTTTTCCCCTCTGATTTAGATTTGGCTTTAAATCTGCATGTAAATATAACTTTGGGAGAAATATACTTAGGGACCACACTATGAAAAGATGACATAGTATATTGCTATTCAGTCGACATTTAATAAGCTTAATGAGTGAATTAATTCCATAGAGATATGTATATATCTTTGTTTCCTCCTAATTATGGATTTTTTTAAAGGTTTAGACTGTTTAATCACTATGACTTAGGAATTCTTTTTTCTTCCATGTATAATCAGTGTTAAGTATCCATACTATTCTTTTATTTCACTATTTTGATAAAACAATATCAAAAGGGAGAAGCTACATGCAAAGCTGCCTTAAAACCTCAGAGAAGAAGGGATATAATACAATACATAAATGTATTTATGGAGATTAATACTTTTCAAATCTGAACTTTCAAAGAATTTATAGCCCTAGGAAAGGAGCTTGTGGTACAGAGGGAAAAAAGAGCTGAATATATATTTTTTTGACAAAGCAATCAACAGGCTAAGAGTTAACCAACATTGGGAGTGCGGGTGGGGGGGGGGGGAATAGCCAGTAAATATTTTTTGCAATATAATTGTTACATAGTTAAAGAGAGAAGGAAGATAATGTTGTTGTAAGAAATACAGTTTGTTTGTTTTATTTTTGGAGGTTCCTATGCAAACAATAGAGCCTGCAGTATCATGGTTAAAGTGTGATATCTCAGAAACTGGAATAACAATAATTTAAAAAAATTGTGTGCGTTGCAGAGCAAATAGCTCCAGCATAATCTTTTACTTTCAGGCATGTTGCAATGAAAAGGGCCAGCTTCTCATTTTTATTGTTGGGACTCAGAGGCATTCCTAGAAAATTAAAAATGCTACAACCTGGGATCATGGTTTAAAGCAGGCATGTCCAAACTGTGGCCTACAGGACCTATTTGGCCCTGAACAGCTAATAATACAATCTCATGAAATCATAAACTTTTAACATTATGTCCTCTTTATATTATATATTTAATACGTGGCCCAAGACAATTCCTCTTTACTCAGTCTGGCCCAGGCAAGCCACAAGGTTGGACATGCTTATTTTAGGAAGATCTAGAGATCCGTTTTCTGAATCCTTAGGCCAGGAGTCTGCAACCTTAAACACTCCAAAGAGCTATTTGGGCCTGTTTCCATAGAAAACAAAACAACAGGAGCCAGAAAACTGGGTTGGCATGGCCAACTCAAAGTCATTCCTACCCAGTCATATCACACACACACACACAAACACCACAGCTATGCCTACCCAGGTTTCATGGGTGTTTTTTGTGGAAAATGGGTCTCCCCCCCCCCCCATTTCTGTTTTTCTCTCTTTACTTCCTTCCTTCCTTTCTCCTCTCCTTTCCTTTCCCTCTTCCTTTTTCTTTCTTCTTTCTCTCATTGAATCCAAAATAAAGTTATTAATTGTGGGAAATTGCTTCTCTGTAATCTTTTCACAGTGAACTCTTAAATTAATAGAAGCTGGCAAGATTGTACTAACAGCAATAGCATATATATTTCGAATTTGACAATATAATACATTATCCAAAATTTTAAAAACTTATTTTCACATGCATTTTGGTCATCTCTGTTATTTCCTTTAAACAACAGACTTTCTTCCAATTTGTGCCTTCTGGCAAACTGCAGTTTTTTGGGCAAGAAATCTAGCTTGCCAATGCTTTCGTCATAGATCTGAGAGAGTTTCTTTCTCTTTCCCTTTCTTTCTTTCTTTCTTTCTTTTTCTCTCCCTTTTCTCTCATTTATTTCCCTGTCTTTTCCCTGTCTCTCATTCTCTTCCCCCAGCTCACTCTCATTTCTCTCTCCCCCTTCTCTCTCTCTCAATTGTTTCTCTCTTTTCCCCTCTCTCATCCTCATTCTCCATTTTTTCTCATTTCTCTCTTTCTCCTCTTTTCTCTCTCTCTCATCTCTTTCTCCCATGTGCGCGTACAAGCAGGATACTCTCCTGGGCCGGGATCACGCCGGGAACGGCGACGACTCCTCTCGCTGCGGCCCCTGCGCAGTGAGGTGAGTAGCCAGCTGTGCTACTCAGTAGAGCCCGAGCTCTTCTCTCCCTGCATCTGGCGATGGCGGCTGCACTCCCCCCCCATCCCCCTCATTCCTGAGCCGACACAAAGGGGACCTTGGCTGGCTCTGAACTGCCCGCGAAGGCTGCTGAATCGTAAACAGCAGCCAGTCGTGGGCAGTGCAGAGAAAATGCTAGGGGGTGCTTCAGCTATGTGACTCTGCAGAGAGGCTCAAGCCTTCTTGGAGCAGAGAGCAGGTTACGCGACTGGGTTGGCAGTGAGTCGCAGGAGAGGGGGTCAAAGCGGGGGCATGCAGCTCCAGGGCCATGGGTGGCCGACACCCGCCTTAGGCCTTCCCGCTAGCAGGAGTGTGCTCACAGTATATAGATAGTCCTTGACCATTCGTTTAAAGAAGGTTTGAAGTTACAAGGTTGCTGAAAATTGTGACGACCCATGCTTGAATTTACAGCCATCCCCTGCAGTCATGTGATTGTGTTTTGGCACTTTGCAACCAGCTCACATTTACGACAATTGCAGCATCCTGGAATCACACAACCACTTGCAACCTTCCCAGTCAATTTCTGACAAAGTCGGTGGGCCAAGTCGGATTCACTTAGTGACCATGTGATTAATGAGCACAGTACAAGTGTGTTGTAATAGCAGGTCTTGTCATGTGATGAGTCATTTAATGACCGCATCATTTAGTGGCAAAAAATTCTGGTCCCAATTGTGGCTGTAAGCCAAGGTTCTGTTGATGCTCTCAAAATTAAAACTGTCCCCGTCGGCACAAGACATGCTTCTTTTTTTTTTCAAACGCGCTTCCAGCACTGCAGAATAAAGCACATTAATTTTATTTTTAGTAGCTGCATTAGGTGGTTGGCTTCTGTTCAGCTTTGGATCAGCTGAGATGCTTTGATCCTGTTTGAAAGTAAAGCTCTCCCTCATCCAGGTTTCTCCTGCAAAGGAGACAATGGCGTTTGGCAGGCAGCCATCCTCTTATCATTTGCTTTGAGGAAAATGATACCCATGTAGGTCAAAGAGGCGGTCGTGGGCATCTTAACTATTTAAACGATTGGCTTGCCTGCCTTCTATTCTTGTTAGAGACTGGTTGGCCCAAAGTAACATCAGCCAATGAAATGGTTGCAGCCTTCTTAGCAGCCCATTTATTCTTTCTAAGAACAGAAGTTTTGATGTGGATGGGATTCTTTCCAAACGGATAGAATCCGGAGACAAAGGAATCATTTTTGTGGGGCCAGGAAGGTGGGTTGCTGATGGAAGAGAGGAACAGTCAGGGATGGGCTTCAAAAATTTCAGCAACGGGTTCTCTATGCGGTTGCTGGGTGGGCGTGGCCTAGTCAGCCTCCTGCACCACGCCAGGGGGAAGCATTTTTGCCTTCCCCAGGCTCCGGAGGCTTTCCTGGAGCCTCTGGGAGGACGAAAATGGTCTCCCCCAGGCTCTGGAGGCCTTCCGGGTGGCCTGTTCCCGCCCCCCCGCCTCTGTGGGCCCTGCACTTAACCTCTCATCTAAAACAGGCCGCGTGGATATTCCTGAGGGAGGGGGGCGTGGTGGGGTGGCAGTGGTGTGGTGGGCGGGGCCAGCCAAGGGTGGGATTTGGAAGTTCTCTGAACTGGCCATAACTTTAGCTATGGGTTCTCCCGAACCTGGGCGAACCGTAGCAGCCTACCCCTGAGAACAGTGGATGCATTTGGAGGAGGAAAAAGGGGGGCTCACGGGATATTCTGAGGGAAAAGAAAGCTTGTTTGGATATTAAGTAGGGGCACAGAAGGCAGTATTGCAGGCTAACACTGCCCACTGCCAAAAGTTTGATCCTGGACGGCTGAAGGTTGACTCAGCTTTCCATTCTTCCGAGGTCACTAGACTGAGGACCCAGATGGTTGAGGGAAATACGCTGACTCTGTAAACCACCTGCAGAGTGCTGTAAAGCATTATGGGAAGGTATATGATCCATGGTGGTTAGAGTGCAGTACTGCAGGCTATTTCTGCTGACTGCCAGCTGCCTGCAATTTAGCTGTTCAAATCTCACCATGCTCAAGATTGACTCAACCTTCCATCCTTCCAAGGTTGGTAAAATGAGGACCCAAATTGTTGGGGGCAAGATGCTGACTCTTTAAAGCGCTTAGAGAGGGCTGCAAAGCACAAGTGCCAAGTGCTACGTAAGTACTATTGCTACATAGCAGTGTTCTTCTTTTCAAGGAGACGCTACTGTTGAGAAGCCTAGCGTTGGCCAGACAAGGTAGCCGACTTCTTCGTCTGAGACACATTTGTGGACCTACAATGCCAAAACGAGTGAAGAAGGAAGAAGAAGAGATCCTTCCAGCGGAGGAAGGGACCACAGGTATGGAGTTCAGTCCTAGCATTAAAACTGGGGTTGATTTGGGAAAGAGAGGTGTCCCTTATTTTATGCTCATTCTGTATTTTGGACCGGAGGACCTCCTTGGTGCTCTTTAATCTTTCCAAGTCTACCTCTTTATTGAATGGCCTCTCGTTTCCTTCAGCCCTTTCCTCTACCCACAGATTGTAATTTGTCAAATTTGTGACATTTTGGTATGATGAGCCCCCAACCAAGGGGTGGAATTCAGCAGGTTCTGACAGGTTCTGGAGAACTGGTAGCGGAAATTTTGAATAGTTCGGAGAACTGGCAAATGCCACCTCTGGCTAGTCCCAGAGTGGTTTGGGAATGGAGATTTTGCAATATCCTTCCCCCAGGAGTAGAGAGGGAATGGGAATTTTGCAGTTTCCCTCCCCTGCCACACCCACCAAGCCACGCCCACAGAACCATTGTTTAAAAAAATGGAATTTCACCACTGCCCCAACCTATATCTTCTATCTGATGCTGGGAATGGAGGAAGGGGGAGAATAAAATGGAAGGAATATTTAATTGTGACATTTCATAGGGACTGGACTACATCAGTCAAACTTGCTCAGGACTCAAATCCAGCACATCACAGTAGAGCACGATGTGTGGACTTCAAGTCCCAGAATTCCCCAGTCAGCATGCAGGCAGAGGAATTCTGGGAGTTGAAATCCAGACATCTTAAGGTTAAGGGTGAGAAACACTGCAGTGTAGATCAAGCAGGAATGGGAATGGGAGAACTCGGATCAGGAGATAATACATCTAGTTCTCGACTTACAACCATTTCTTTGGTAACCGCTAGAAGTTACAACAGCACTGAAAACAGTGACTGGTTTTTACCCATGGTCACATGATCAAAATTTGGAGGCTTGGTTCGTGTTTGTGAGAGTTGCAGTGCCCCAAGAGTTACGTGATCCCCTTTTGCGACGGTCTGACAACCAAAGTCCAGGGGGAAACTAGATTCACTTAACAACTGTGTTACTGACTTAACAGCTGCAGTGATTTATTTAACAACCGTGACAAGATAAGTCATAAAATGAGACAGAAACTCACTTCACAACTGTCTTGCTTAGCAACATAAATTTTGAGCTCAGATTGTGGTCCTAACTACCTGTCAAATCCTTTCCCAATCTTGATTAGAACATGACTCTCGTGCTGAAAATGAACTAACCCATATCTGTAGAAAATGAGCCAAATTTTAAAATCAGTCTTACCTGATTACAGTTAAGTCGTTGAGTTACGAGCACAGAATTTGAGCCCAAAATCTATGTTGCTAAGTGAGACATTTCTTAAGTGAGATTTGCCACATTTTACAACCTGTATTGCCACAGTTGTTAAGTGAATCATTCCCATTTGTTCAGTTAGTCACACGGTTGTTAAGTGAATCTGGCTTCCCCAGTGTCAGACGGTCGGAAAAGCTGGTCGCATGACCCTGGGACACTGCGACCGTCATAAATAGGAACCGGTGGCCTGAATTTTGATCATGTGACCATAGGGATGCTGCAACGGTCATAAGTATGAAAAAAGGTCATAAGTCGCTTTTTTCGGTGCTGTAATTTTGAACAGTCGTTAGCTGAACGGTTGTAAATCGAGGAATGTCTCTGTTTCCAATGGCGTCTGATTTTCATCAAACAATGGTGGGTTGCTCTTACTGTCGCTACAGGTACGCTGATCACGGTCTGTTCTTGCACCCGCCTGATGTGCGCTGCGCATGCATACGCAATGCACCGCCCCTGCGGCAACCAGCAGCTTGTTGGGGCTCACGCAGGCATCGCACGCTGTGCTCACATGCGCACTTTGCCATTTGCTATAAAAACAGCTATAGAGCCGCGGGTGGGCCGAACGAGCCACCGCAGCGGTCTCAGCTGCTCTCGGACATGACCGTACGGCCATACCCATAGCAACCCACCTCTGAAGCAAACACCTGTTCCTCCTCCTGTAATGTTGTGTCTTGTTTCTCTTTCCCTCAGAGCCAGAGCCTAAAAAGGCGATGGGCGATGCACCAAAACCAGAGAAAGAGGCCGATGGGCCAATCTTGTACCAAGATCCTCCTGATAAGCTCACTACACCCAGTGACAAAAAATACACTATGAAGATCACATCCTGGAACGTAGATGGCATCCGAGCCTGGTTCAAGAAGAAGGGCCTGGAGGTAACTCAAGAGGAGAATCCACCATTTTGTTTTCCTACTGGTTTTTTCCACGCTGGGTATGACGGCGATGGTTTTTCCTCTACCCCCCCCCCCTCAAAAGAGGGACGGAGAATGTCATAAAAAGATAATCTGCATTTAGACATCACACATCGAATAAAATATCCTTTATTGTCAGTCTTCTGGGTACACAATGGCACACACTAAAACGAAATTCCGATGCCCACTCTAGACGGAAAAGAAGGGGGAGAAAAACAGCACCCACCAAACACTGTCGCCATCCCTAAGAAAATAGATTGGGAGGGGGAAATTGTAAAAATTTGGTCTAATTGGGATTGACTCTTAATGAAGACATGTCATGTAATTTTACAGGGGATCCTCATTTAATAACGCTAATTGGGGCTAGAAACTCCGTTGTTAAGCAAAACAATCATAAGTCGGAAAACCACATGCTCACATTGCTTAGCAACTCCAATTCCAGTTGCCATTGAGGATTTCATGTGATTGTGACTTATGACTTCCTGCCGGCTTCCCCATTGATTTTGCTTGTGGAATTTGGCTTCCCCAATGCTGGCTTCCCCATTGATTTTGCTTGTCACAAATTCTGGTCATGTGATCATGGGACACCATAATGTCTGGAACTTCAAGGACTGGTTGCTAATGCCATTCCTTCAGTACCAGTGTAAGTTCAAATGGCCACTGAACAAGTAGTCATTAAACGAGGACCACTTGTATTGGCAGCAATACTATATTGAAACTGTCTGGCAGGTTGAACTTTTGGGTTTTGCCTAAGGGCATATAATCCTATTGTTTTATTTAATTAAATAATATACAGGTGGTTATTGACTTGCAGCAGTTCTTTTAGTGACCATTCGAAGTTAACGACAGCACTGAAAAAGGTGACTTATGACCGATTTTCACACTTACGACTGTTATAGTACTCCCAAGGTCACGTGATCAAAATTCAGAAGCTTGGCAGCTGATTCATATTTATGACGGTTGCAATGTCCCAGCGTCACGTGATCCGCTTTAGTGACATTCTGAGGAGCAAAGTCAGTGGGGAAGCCAGATTCACTTAACAATCAGGTTACTAACTGAACAACTATAGTGATTCACTTAACAACTGTAGCGAGAAAGGTGGTAAAATGAGGCAAAACTCGCTTAGCAAATGTCTCACTTGGCAACATTTTGGGCTCATTTGTGGTCGTAAGTTGAGGACTAACTCACGATCTGTTGTTAATTTTTTAATTGGCTACACGCTTTCACACATCTGGAGGGGGTTTGTGCTGGGGAAGGCTGTTTGTTGCAATTCATTGTGGATATTGAATGAAAACAATATCTGCATTGTTGCAGGCCATCAAAAAAACAATTATAAAAATAGTGTGGCGGCGTAACCAGCAGTGGAGAAGGGAACAGGCAGTCCCTTATGGTGCTACTAGCAACCAGCTTGGTTGAAATTATCAAGGCGGTGTTGTTTTTATATCCCCTTGTGTTCAAACAACCTCTCTTGGGTGAAGGAGTAGAACGACTGCCAGTTTGAACTGAGGTAACGGAATATGAGGCAACTGGCAGTTGGAACAGAGTTCTTTTTAGGTGGGGAGGGAAGGGGTAGACTGTCTAACTCCTTAGTATCCGAATGTGTTAACATAAGGCAACTGGCAGTTAGAATGTAGTTCTTTGCCAGTGGGGAGGGGGAGTAGAACTCCTTAGCATCAGAGCGTGTTAATTACTGTATGGATAGGATGGTTTCGAAAAATCCTTTCTTAGCAAGCACCTGGGAGCCAAAAGGAACATACATGCCAAATTTCAAGTTTGTAGGCTTTCCAGTTCTGGAGATATGATGAATGAATGGTATTTGGTTTTTATACGTATAGATTATATTATATTATACTAATTATATTCTCTGCAGTGGGTGACTGAAGAGGATCCTGATGTGCTGTGCTTACAAGAAACAAAATGTACAGAAAAACAGTTGCCTGCTGAGATTCGGGATCTGGCCGAATACCCCCATAAATTTTGGGCCTGTTCTACTGACAAGGAAGGCTACAGCGGCGTGGCTATGCTCTCCAAGAACAAGCCTCTAGATGTCACTTATGGGATAGGTAGGGACTTCTCCATCCTTATTTTGGGATTTTAGTTCCTCTTAGACTGGTGAATTATCCCTTACAAAAGCATAAGCAGTAAATCTTTGTTGCCTTGGGGGGAAAAAACACTGTTCTTTGGTGGTGGTGGTGGGGGGAATAAGCTGAGATAGAAGAGAGCATGCTTAAGGATTTTAAGCCAGATCTCCAGGTTGCTGTCCAATAAAAGGGCTTTCCCAAGTGGCTGAGCCTATTGTAGATACTGTTTTGAAAGAACGCCTGTGTCATGTTTTACAGCAAGTGAACTCAAAGTCCCAGGGGCCACATCCGGCCCTCGGGGTGCTTGGATCTGGCCCGCAGGGCCGCCTTTGAAACAGCAAAGGAACAACTCATGGTGCCTCTGCGAGCGAAAACAGAGCCTGGCCGTGCAGCATGTGGCCTCCCCAGCCTCCATTTTCACCGGCAAGGGCTGCAGGCAAAAATGGAGCCTTGATGAGTGACGTGGGGCTGGCCACCCCCACCTTGGCCACCCCCACTTCCCGAGGTCAAAACACAACTCTGATGCGGCCTTTAATGAAAGTCAGTGGAGAAGCCAGGTTCATTTAACAACCAGTTTACTAACTTTATCAACTTTAGTGATTCACTTAACAAATGTGGCCAACAGATGTCTCAATTAACAATGGCAATTTTGTGCTCAGTTGTGGTTGTACATTCAGGACTAGTTATAATGGGAAAGGCGGGGAGTTGTCAGGTGGATGACACCCGACTGGGAACATGTCTTCCTCTGATTGTGCTTGTTCAAAATCAACATTGCTTTTCGGTCTCTCTTCTGTACTGTTACTGCAGGTGAAGAAGAGCATGACAAAGAAGGCCGGGTTATCACAGCGGAGTTCCCCTCCTACTTCCTGGTGACCGCCTATGTGCCCAACGCCGGTCGGGGACTGGTGCGCCTGGAGTACCGCCAACGTTGGGATGAGGCCTTCCGCTCTTACCTGGAAGGCCTGGTTGCCCGCAAGCCGCTTATTCTGTGCGGCGACCTCAATGTAGCTCACCAGGAGATCGATTTGAAGAATCCCAAGGGAAATAAGAAGAATGCGGGCTTCACTCCAGAAGAGCGGGCTGGTTTCACCCAACTGCTGGAAGCTGGCTTTGTCGACACTTTCCGGCATCTCTATCCTGACACCCCCAATGCCTACACTTTCTGGACATATATGATGAATGCCCGGGCTAAGAATGTGGGATGGAGGCTTGATTACTTTGTAATCTCCAAAGAGCTTCTGGAAGGTTTGTGTGACAGCAAGATCCGCTCCTCAGCCTTGGGGAGTGACCACTGCCCCATCACCCTCTATGTGGCCGTGTAACCCATGCAGACAAGGCCCAGCCCTATTGTAGCTTCAGTGGGAAAAGAAAAAGTTAAAATTATGTCTATGACTACTCAACCCTAATTTTAGAGCAGTGTTTTTCAACCATGGCACCCTTCAGACGTGTGGACTTCAACTCCCAGATCTCCTGAGTGGCTGACTGGGGAATTCTGGGAGTTGAAGTCCACTTGTCTTAAGGCAGTGATGGCAAACCTTTTTCGTACCAGCGTGCCAACCTGCGTGCTGGAAATAGCATGCAAAACCATCCCACGAGGAACGTGCTGCCTCGTTGGTCTTCCCACGTGCAGGAGCAACAAAACCCAAGAGCAGCATTCCATCGCACGTGTGCGCTAGTACCCAAATTTATGGTTACTGGCGCAGATGCGACAAACAGCTGGCCATCACACCTACATGCAATGGAAAGCCGGATATTCGGGGGCCAGTGCACACATGCGCACTGGGACACTACTCTTCCAGAATTCAGCACTCCCATGTGCACGAAAACCAGCTGGCCAGCATGTGTATGTGCACAGATACATGGAAGAGGAGGAGTGAGGCTGTGCATTCCTCGCGCGGTGGTTTTGCGTGTTGTTTCTGGCACGTATGCCATAGGTTCGCCACCACTGTCTTAAGGTCACCAAGATTGAAAAACACTGCTCCAGAGTCAGGATCTGAATCCTTTTCCATAAGGTAAGCTACTCCCAGGCTGCTAATAGGGTTCCTCAATGTAATTTTGTTTTTTTCAAAAGGCATATGTGGCCACTTTGGGGTTAAATGGAAATAAACTCTTTGAGTTTCTTCTGCCTGCTCAAGTTCTCCAGAGAAAATGGCTTAAAACAGGTGGAGAACTGTGGCCATTTTATGACCTGTGGACTTCAACTCCCAGAATTCCTGATCCAGCATAGCTGCCTCAGGAATTCTGGGAGTTGAAGGCCACAAATCATAGACCCCATATTTCTCCACCTCTAGCTTAAAAGGTGGGATTGGAGCAGGATGGGTGCAAGCTATTAAAAGCATCCATTGATTCCGGAGATAGTAAGGATCATACTGGAGTCTTCTAGTGTTTGCAAAATAAAAAAATAAAAAAAAATATGGCTAAGTGGAGGCATTACTCCACTGCTCTTGTTCTCCAGATGTTAGCTATCTTCCGCGTTTTGAGTATTGCCCCTCATGAAAAAGTAGCCTGCCTTCCTTCATTTTATTTTCCCCTTCCCACTGCTTTGAGAAAGGTGGAATTCACCGAGATGTATTTTGATTTCCCAGAAAACATTAAACTTTCCTAATATAAATCAACCAAGCTTGTCTCATTTTCTACCCGGAATGCTATCTTTTAGCAATTTCAGCGTGGTCTTATAAGCAATAACTTCCTTTAGCTTTCAATTTTATCTCCACCTGACGGTCAATGTAATACAGAAGAATTTCCCATCTGAGTTGGTTTTCATACTGACTTTGGTAGTTACATGTTCTACTAGCTAGATATGCGTGCTTCACAACGAAACTCTGATCAGGCTATGCAGGAGAAATTCAGTTCACAATCCGTTGGCTCGGTGGTCGGTAATTAAAATACATAAGGGAATATTGCTCCCACCGCCTTGAGTCCAGAAGCAGTTCCATAGGTGGAAGGCATAGACATTTTGGTGAGGTACTAACATTTAGTACTGTAAGGAGCCCTAGATCACTTCTGAATGAAGGAGTGAAATGCCTGCCAGTTTGAACTGAGGTAACAAAATGTGAGGCAACTGGCAGTTGGAACAGTTCTTTTCAGGTGGGAAGGTAGTAGAATGTCTAACTCCTTAGCATCAGAGCTGTTAATTACCGTATAAGAAATGCCAATGATCTGAAGGTCATTTTGAAAAATCCTTTCTTAGCGAGCACCTAGGAGCCAAGAGGAACATAAATGCCAAATTTCAAGTTTGTAGTCTTTATGGTTCTGGAGATATTTCACACACACTCTTCACAAGTGTCTTTTTATTTCCAATAATGGAGTGGCAGGTCATTATTTCCCTTTAACCTATGTGTATATGTGTGTGCATCTATTCGCTTAAAGATAAAGCTTTACACAGTCTAGTCGTGTCTGACTTGGATGATGCTCGTGGCCATTTCCTAGCTTGGAAGCCAGCATTGTCTGAAGGTGCTTCTGTGGTCATGTAGCCAGTATAGATTATCCACAAAGGAGCACTGAATGCTGATATGTTCCCACTTGCATGCTTTTGAACTGCTGCTGTGTTTCCCTGAAAATAAGACCAGGTCTTATGTTAATTTTTGCCCCAAAAGGGATTAGGGATTATTTCCTGATTAGGTCTTATTTTGGGGGAAATACAATACTAAAATGCATGCCTGGCTGATTATGTTAACTGAGGCTTGTTTTGGGGGATAGGGCTTTATTATGAGACTGGGAAAATGCTAGGGCTTATGTCCCAGATGGGTCTGATTTTGGGGGAAACACAGTAAATGGCCAGGAGCTGGGGTGAGGATGGGACCTTACCTCATCGCACAGCGCCTTGGTCTTAAATCCAGGCCATCCAGCTGATCAACTCACCATCTTTAACCACTAAGCAATCACACCTCCTTTAGCCAGCTTAATACTGGCTAAAGTACTAATTTCTGTATCTCGACAGTTCAAAGCCACCTATAGGAAAAGCTGTGGTGGCAGTGTGCTTAGAATTCAGTGTTGCAGGCTAATTCTGCCTACTGCCAGCAGTTTGATCCTGATTGACTTAGCCTTCCATCCTTCAGAGATTAGTAAAGTGTTGATTGTTGGGGGGTAATATGCCGACTGTGTAAACCGCTTAAGGCTTTAAAGCATTGTTAAGAGGCATATAACTGTTATTGCTAAAACATTTCCCCAAAGCATCCCCCCCCCCAAAAAAAAGCTTAATCTGATTTGCCTAGGAGTTTCTCATTATCTTGATAAAAAACTCAAGCTCAGTAAGTGTATTCTTAGGGATCATTTTAGCAGGGGAGGCAAGAGAGGTTTTAAGATTTTAACCTGGGAAGGGTCCTTTGCTGTCCAAGCCCACCTGGGAAGAATGTCTAAAATTCAGCGAGAAGTCAGCAATATAAGATGTGAAACAGATCAGCCCCATCGGAGCCCATCTGACATGACTTGGTTGTCCCAAACCCTATATTTTTAACCTCTTGACATATATTTGCAGCATGGATGGGATTAACCTTTGCAATTACTCTTGCACGTACATCCAAAGTGAAAACAAGGATTAGTGAAAGACTTGGTGGATCAAGGTTTCAGAGCTACAAATGATCCATGTCAATGAGCCTTGCTGACACCAGAACAGAACACTGGATTAAATTTACACAAAGAATTTTTTAATACCATGTTTTCCCCCAAATAAGACAAGGTCTTAATTTTCTTTTGACCACCGAAATAAGCGCTTGGCCTTATTTTCAGAGATGTCTTTACTATTTTTGAGGTGCAGGAGGCAGCGAGCATGGTCACCTCATGGTTGCTGCTGTGTTGTAATATTTTTGGGGAGGACTTATTTTAGCACAGCGCTCAAAAGCCCAATTGGGCTTATTTCCAGGGTGGTCTTATTTTCAGGGAAACGGTACGTAAAAGATTTGTACAGAGGCCCATTCTTCAGGAAATTTCCTCCCAACTGAAGTACATTTAATCAAACCAACTCTTAATCAAATGAATTTCCTTCCTTAATTGAAGAACATTCAGTTGAAATCAACTCTTAATTGAAGAAATTTCCTTCCTTAATTGAAGGAAATAAATAATCTCGTCCCCCTTAAGGTGGCTCATTATTTAAAAAAACCACAAGGCTGAAGCTTCCTCTCCAGTTTGGTCAGATATGGAATTGCTACTTTTATTTATTTACAATCACCCAATTCATGGAATAGTTACTTTTTTAATTTATTTACAACCATCTAGTTGTGCCTGTGGAGAAGGAAAAGGACAAACAGACATGTTCAATCATGGCTGAAAAAGACAGAGACATACGGTGCAAGTACACAGGCAGGCAAGCAAGCAGGCAGCCGTCACGGAGGAAAGTTATCTTAAATAGGTCTATGTACATTTTACTCCTTATATATACAAGCTGCAACAGGCTTGGGGCTATAAGCTCGATGCCACGGAGGTGGGAGAATTAAAATCTTGAGGCCAAGAGAGAAGACGGGGGTAGAGGACTTGGCGCTGAGAAAAATCAAGCTAGGTTCGAACCAGGACTGAGGCATTTCCCTAGGTGGAATGTCTGATGTATGACTCAGGGCATCCTTTCTTCTGTACGACAGAGTCCATGCACCATTTCCCTCCCCCTTCGGTCTACGTCATCAACTAGTAAGACAAAAGAAAGGATGGAAATCTGATTTAGTAGGCTCTGGAAGAGGATAGTTCTATGCCTCAAGTCAAGGTTGAAATAAATGTCCCCCACCCCGCTCCCCCCTCCAGCTCTCTCAAATCCACTGCAGGTGGTATTGGCCAGCAGTTCTCCCTTCAACCTTCCGAACAAAAACAATAAACACCGTAGCCATGGTTTGAAAGGGCTCTTTAGAGAGAGAGAGACGTGATGGTTCCTAAGGCTGCTCTCATCTCACCCGCTGAAAACACAGTTTGGATCGTTGGGAGAAGAAAACAGGGAAGTGGCCCCTTCAAGGAATGTGCAAAGATTAAGAAAAACGAAAGCAGAAACGTAATGAAGCTAAACCCCTTTAGCGGAAGACCTGGATCTCACACTGATCACAGAAAGCAGGTGGGAGGTAAGGGCTGAAATTCATTAAATGAATATCTGGACCAATCCCGGGGCCTACATACTAACCTTTATGGAACGGCCCTTCTCTCATTCCCCGGGGCCCCCATTCACATTTAAGGATTGTGGAAACGGCCTCGAAACCTTGCAGCCCCCCCACATTACCGACCACAGGATGGCAAAAACAAGAAAGAGAAAAAAAACAATACAGCAGCAATTCCTGGAGACTCTTTTGCGCCTCCTTCTCAACCAGGAAAGAATTTTTTTAAGCAGCCTCCGATGGGAGCCAAGAACAGAGTCCTGAAAACACCAACTTCTGAAGTGCCGCCAAGTTGTAGAACTGTAGTGTTATCTCAAGTGGTTCCGCTGTGGGCCATCTCCAAACGTCATCGCAAAACAGCCGCCACCGGTTTGATGCCAAACCGTCCATTTGCGTTTTCAAGTTTTTCTTTTGGGGACGATTAGTGTTAACTTGCAGGATCCATAGGAACTCCCCCTCCCCCTCCCGCCGGGGGATGGCAGAACCCGGCAGAATTGGGCCTTCGGCTCCTTTGGAGTCAAAATTGTCCTTTCTTTTGCCATCAATCCTGGCTCAAGAGCAACAGAGATGGGAGAAGACTGGTAGATATCAGGGTTGTCCCATAGATGCTCGGATGGTGACACCGGGAGCGAGCACAGCAAGAAGGTGGCAGGGCAGACCCGACTTCAAATGGAATCAGAAGGGTCCTTGGAGATGAGGTGGTGGGGCAGTGGTGGGAAACCAAGAAGAGCTTGGGGAGGCTCACGAGAAATTCTGGATGGGGTGGCTGACTCTCATGCAAGCCCAGTACATCGCTCGGCCAAGGAAAACCAAAGCCAGGAAAATCACCACAGCCCAGGAAGCATAGACACCCCTGTACTGCTGGGCTTGTTTCCAGGTACCAAACTAGAGAATAAAAGAACAATGAAAAAAATCAGCTTCACAACATCACATCTTAATAGATTTACTGTGAAAGATAAAGGTGTGTGTGTGTGTGTGTGTGTGTGTGTGCGTTCAATAGGCCTTTGGGTTCAGCAACCTTTTGTTCCAGCCTGAACCATGAAACAGCTCCAATTTTGACTCTCAAATGCTGAAGGTTGTGGCGATGTGAACTTTCTATCTTACATGCATAATCCTCCCTTTTATATTATATATGTATAATGGCTAAGAAGTTTGCCTAGTATGTAATATAGCCCAGGTTCAAATCCCAGTAAGGGTATGGCTAGCTGATGAGAGCTAAATAGCTTGAAACAGATCTATACTAGTCTCCCTTTATTTATTTATCAGCACAAATAAAAAAACATATATATATATATATGTGTGTGTGTGTGTATATGTGTGCGTGTGTATGTATGTATATGTATGTATACACACACACACATACATACACACACACACACACACACACACACACACACACACACACACACACACGAATTCCTTATTTAGAGTAGAAATCTTTATTGGCCAAGTGTGATTGGACACACAAGGAATTTGTCTTTGCTGCATAGGCTCTCAGTGTACATAAAAAGACAAGATACATTCATCAAGAATCATAAGGTACAGCACTTAATGATAGTCATAGGGTGCAAATAAGCAATCATTTACAATGGTGATCACATGACCCTGGGGACACTGCAAGAGTCGCAAATATGAAGCAGCAAATGTAAATTGCATTCAGATGTTTGACCACTGCTTCATATTTATGACGGTTGCAGTGTCCCAGGGTCATGTGATGCCCTTTTGTGAACTTCTGACAAGCAAGTCCACGAGGAAGCAAGATTTACTTAACAACCATTTTACTTTTTCCACAACAGAAGTTGTTCGCTTAACAAATGTGGCAAGAAAAGTCGTAAAATGGGACAAAACTCACCTAACAAAATTTCTGACATAGCAACATTGGGCTCAATTGTGGTCCTACACGTTGATGACTACCTGTGTGTTCAGGACCTTAGTTTGGTTTCCTCTTTAATATTAACATTGTTTTTATTATTCTGGATAAAAGCTTCCATAATGAATTGATACATAAAGGGTTTAGAGTGTTTTTTCCCCCTTGAATTTTAAAGTGGGAATGTTGGAATTGCAGAAGGCTTGTTTGTCACTGTTCCCCACCCTTCTGCTAAATAAATCAATAGCTGTCATTTCAAACCGGACACTAACTTAGGCATGAGTCTAAGGGGGCAGAGCTGTGCTACTTAAAAGATTCTAGATATCTACTATGGATTTCGGATGGGGTTTTTTTGTGAAAAGTTTTTTTTTTTAATTTCATACAAGTAATCACTTGTATGAAGTATACAAGTATACCATTACATCTTAACCAGTACTTATCCAGCATTATATCAATTCCTCTTACCATCAACCCACAGCAACTATAATTTGCTCTTCTGCTTTCCATACAGCATACTATATATTATATAAATGGTTATTCAACCTCCTCTCCCTTTCCCTCCTCCCTACCTCCTTTCCTCCCTCTACTATCCCTCTCTTCTCTGCTTCCCATTCCTCTCTCCTTCTCCTCTATACACTCCTTCTCTCTCTCCCCATCTCTTTTCCTCCCTTCTGCTTCCCTGTCTCCTAACACCTCTCTCCGTCCTTTACTCCCCCTTTCTCTCTCTTCCACTCTTTCCACTTTGCTTACATGGTGTATTTCAGCTTCTGAGCAAACTCCATTTAGTATATTGATTTCGGATGTTGAGTGGCATGTTCAGTCGCCTCCCTGCTAAGGGAAAAAGTGGCCTCAAGTCAAGACTGACCTTAGACACATCCCTGTAGGGTTCTTGGCAGCAAGATTGATGGAGTTTGTCTCTTATGTTCTTCCACTTTTTAAACCTTCTCATTCTAACACAAAACCTTGGGATTTCCAGGTATAAACGAGACATGACCATCTTTAATGGTCTCACCCTAATCTCAACCTCTTGAGATCCCCACACTTGCCATCCACAGCCCTAGCTAGATGTCCCTCGCTCAGACTCACCGCCAAC